GTTTACTTCAGATATCAGCAGTTTCTTCAGATACTGAGAACAGTTTCATCTGACTGCTTGTTTCATTCATCTGTCCTTAACAAATACTTGAATTTACTGGTACACCATGAAGTTTTTTATTCAGGTTCACAAAGCTCTTTGTATTTCAAGTGGCTGCAAAAGATAATAGTTGAATAAATGGACTGGACTGGCCAGATTATAGCCACTGTTTTAAGAAATACTGCATAGGTCTTGACTTTGGATTTTACCTAAGTAAACACATGGCTAGGTAAGTGAATGAGCCTATGGCAAAACTTAAAAAAAGAGTCATAGTCTTGTTGGACAGTACTCAAAGCTACCTGATAGCCGTTCTTCGAAATACAGACTCAATTATAAAGGTGTAGCCTGTACTTCACAAGACTGTATTTTTTTAACAGTGGTAGTCCACAGGCTGTATGCACACAGGAGAAGGTACAGACCAAATTTATGCTCAAAGCTTTGCATGTAATAGAACAGTTAGGAGACAAAAATACTCAGTCTTTCCTCTCTGGTGTATATTTCCACATTAAGCATATTTCCTCTTAGTTTACCTGCAAAAATTCAAATTAAACCAAGTATCTACTAAATATAGATCTACGCTTTCACTTTGCTTAGTTTATGCAGAGAAATTATAACATTGCAGCAGTTTCATGGAGGTACCTCTGTAAGCATGTATCGGAGTTGCAGCAGAAAACAAGAAGAAAAATCACACTGTAGCACTGTTCTGCAGTGAAGTCCATCTTCAGATTTACCACAGGTATGAACTCATTAATTATAGCACAATTCTGCTCTACATTTTTCAAGCACTTCAGATCTGGTAATCCTTCATCAGACAGTTGTTTCCATAAACCACAGTTCTTACTGGAAATTTAATGTATAGGAAACGCCGTGAACAGGAGCTGCAGCAAACTGTCTCATAAAGACTCCCTACTTTCATTGCATGCCTTTGCTATTGTCCTCTGAAACTGTTCTTTCCTTCTCTATCTGCTAATGGATTTCCTTGTTTCCAAATCTTAATAATTGTCTCTGTTCTGTACACTTGGAATAATGCTTATTTGAAGTAAATTCTTATTTGACATTTTTTCTCTCCACTGAATAAAATTTTCTGCAGTGCTCCCATTCCATCAAAAGAACTTGAACATATATATTTGCTTAATTTTTTCACAACTCCATTTCAATATTTGGCCTTTCTCCTTATTGCAGTGCCCCAGGTCCTGCAAGTTTCATGTATGAATGTAATGGTTTTGGCTAAAAGTGACTTAATGTGAATAAATTCTTATGATGTAAAACACTACTGAAAAGCTATGCACTCACCCCTGTTAACACAACAAACTGTCTTCCTTCTGTGGCAAGCCTCAAACTGTTATCCTGTGGGCTCTACTGTCTTTTTTGCAATCTCACTTCCTGCTGCTCAGTAGCCAAAGGACTGGTAATAAAGAAAGCATTTCAGTCTTGTCTGTAAATCTCTGGATGCTATAACAGCAAAAGCCGATGAGAAAGTTCAATCAACACTGAACAGCAGGTCACCTACCAGGAACGCCTCCTTGTTTCTGCAATGTAAGTTAGTTATTTACATTCTGTGCTTTCAATTGGAGTTTCAAGAGACTAAGAAACATCCAAGAGCTTAAATTCAACAGACTTTAGAAAGACTTCCAGTCTTACATTTTTAAACACCCCTTAAAACAAGGACTTCAAGGAGCCCAATCAAACAGACACCCCTGAAAATGCTATTCCACATTTATTTATTTTCCCTGAAAAGTCTCCTTGTTTTTTAATTATAATGTTACCACTTTTATGCCCTCAGCTGTGTAATTGGAGGGGGGGAATGTAGAAAATAGCTATGTAGATGCAGGGAACAAGCATCCATTTTGGCAGCATTAATCTGTGTTCAGCCAGGGGCCATTATGGGAGAAATGGTACTAATGGTTGGCTCTTCAGAGATTCTGGAACCCAGAGTTGGGTTTGGCTATGGTCTTTCATGTTTCCAAATGAAAATATCTGTATTTTCCTCCAGAGCAACTTAAAACATTTTCCACATTACAAGTTTTAACCATGTCTAAACTGTAAAGTCCTCACAACTAGAAGTTTGCTTTTAGTAGCTTGATAGGGAAAGAAATGTACCTACTTGCTGACAGAGATGGATAACTTCTGAACACGGGAGAGCACAAATGAGATGAGTTTCAGTCCAAACAGTTTACAGCCAGTTAAAAAAAACAAC